ATGCAAACACAACTGCTTCACGGTTGAATCACGAATGGGACAGAGGTACCCAAGCAATTGACTTTTGTACAATCTCCCTCTGGTAAAAATCAGCCATATTAACTAATACGCCAGTGAAGAATGAAATAGCAGCAATTGAAGCCAAAAGAAATAGTAATAAATTAAAAAGACATCTGTTTAACCTGAAAGAAAAACCTGCGAAACCAGTGAAAAAATAGTAAAACCAGCGAAAAGAAAAGCTAAGAAAGGAAAGAAAGGAAAAGCTAGTAAAATAGGAGATAGCAGCAATGATGATGACGATCACTGCTTCTGTATAGTTTGTGTAGAACCGTTTTCACGAAGTAAGCCAAATGAACAATGGATCCAGTGTATGGAGTGTAAGGCATAGGCGCACCTGGAATGCACTGAAGGCGAGATGTCCTATGGGTGCCATAATAATTTGTTTAAAAGAATTTTTTTATTTTCTATAAATTTCAATGTTTAATTATTTGCTATTTTTTGTTTCTAAGATCTCAATATTGTAACTATGAGACTGATAGTACAAATTAAGGATAATTGTAACTTTAATATAACATTTACTTTCAAATCTGTGTTTCTTAATAATGGATTGCTTCCAGATAATAATTGTTTCAACTCTCCTAGACCAGTGTTTCAATTTATCTCAGTAGAAGAATATACAAAGTCACTATTTCTTTAAGTCAACTTTTTATGGGTAAAAAAGAAATAGTAGCAGTTTTTATCCTAAACATTTATTAGTTAGATAAATAAGGTTTCATTTAGTATAAAACAAGATCATTTCTATCGCTTAATTAAAAAGTTATGGGTCTCAATATAAAAAATGGTTCAACTCTCCTCGGTCTCCCCTACTGTATTCAAATAATCCATGTTATGTTGGTAAACAAACAATAAATAAAGTTATAAGAGATACTAGTGGGCCTGTAAAAATATGACGGCGCAACTATAATCTTTTTCGAGGGAGGTCAAAGAAAAATGCATTCTCATATATCAACACACATGCAACTTCGTACGTCACTAAATCATGGGAAAATTGGGAAAATTAACTATGCACACGTAAAATTCGACCTTACGCCCTTTCCATACAAGCGAAAATCTCCCTTGAACCAATGACCTTTGCTTGACATTACATCACTACGAAAAATGCATTGAAAAACGAACCTACCTTCACCTCGAGCAGTCCTATGGTTTCGCCTGGATTCTCCGAGGTTTTTTCCACCATTTTTCTCACAAGAAATTTTAATTTGATATTTAGTTATTACAATTATTTACCGCGGCCGGCCGCGTGGTTGTATAATTGTGTATTATATATTATGTACCCCACTGGGTCGGACTATTGACTGGCCCTTCTAACGGGACCCTAATAATAAGTAATCTGATTACAATAGTTCGTTGTTTGGGGTTCAGTGATATAATCGTTTTTTGAACTAATGCCCCTTCTCTATAGTTCGGACAATACCCATCCGTAATATAATAAGGGTGTCGTATGGGAATAGAAAAAAAAAATTACCTGCGATTGCATTGTCGAACAACGAATATGAACCTTTTTGGACAAAGAATGTGAGTTGACGTTCGTTTTGTCATTCAAAGAACAAGAACAAAAGTACATTTGAACTATCATCGTCATCATCATATCAGCCGTTAAATGTCCACTCTTGAACATAGACCTTCCACTTGGATGGTTTTGCCAGTAGTTGCCACACTTAGCAGGCTGGTTGGTAACCGTAGTTTTAACCGTTAAGCAGTTGTGTTTGCATGGCTGTATTTCGGTTTGAAGGGTGGGATATGGCGTGAATTTACAAAGTACAGAGAAATAACACCTGAGTCCTCAGGAATGGCAACGCATGGGGGATATCATGGGCGAAACAATATACTCTGTTATGTCCATGGTACTGCTCATGTCTATAGGCGACTGTTACCACTATCCATCAGGTGGGCAGTCAGCTTGTTTGCCATTTTAACTTGTATAAAAAAATCTATTGGACCCGTTTATTATTTTATTTACTGGTAATGAAATTAACAATTTAATAAATAGAACACACAAATATATAAACACGATATCTGTCAAATAAATACGATAAAGGCGGTACACGAACAAATATATTTGTCGCGTACATCCGACTGGCGCGGTCAAAAGGTTAAACTATTAAGTTCGATAAAAAAGACTTACTAAGAATGTTTATACTACACATGCTAAATATAGAAAAATATTTTACATCTCCCATATCTAGAACTAACAAATTTTTATATCATGCCTCCTACCAAATTGTTTATAATTACTCCTCTCCATCCAAAGGTTGCCTGGAAGAGATCGCTCTTAGCGATAAGGTCGCCCATTGTTTTCTCATTGTGATTATTTCTTGTGATTGTTTGTATTTATAATAAGTTTACTGTTGTAATCTTTTGGAGGAAACAATAAAGAGTATCTATCTATCTATCTATTTTATACTTACACTCACAGATAATGCCAAGAATCTACATAAATAATAATTTCTTTAATATAATCTGTATAACGCAGTGTAGGAGTGGGGAAAGGGATTGTTAGCAATGGAGTTTGACAGCCCCATTGCTTATGCCTTATTAGGTCGACCTCCACGTGGTTCCCCCTGGAAACCATCGTGAACAATTCTTGTTGAATTCGTCACGATGGGCTAACTGACCTACTTCATCCTCACCTATCATCCTTCACTGGTGCCCCGCCGGTATATACCGATAGCGCGGGCGGGTATACTATTCCATTATCACCCATTAAAAAAAATGCATTTCAGGTCGTCACTCCTGTATCCTGTATCGTCACAATCTAGTAGGTCACGTCATTTATTTTACAATACAAATATCTAAATATCTACCTGTAATTATACGGTACTATGTCAAATATCTGTGCTCCATTGCTAACAATCTCTTTCCCCCGATCTAGTGGGGTTAAATGGAGTCACGACCTAAAATGCATTTTTTTTTATGTGTGAAAAATGGTATGGTAACCCCGCCTGCGCTAACGGGATACGCTGGCGGAGCACCAGTGAAGGGTGATAGATGAGAATGAAAACAGGCCAGTTAGCCCATCATGATGAATTCATTAGGAATTAACTATGATAGTTTCCAGGGAGAACCGCGAGGAGGTCGACCTGATTGGGTATATTGCTAGCAATGGGATTCTCAGTCTCTATTACTAACGATTCCTCCCCCCCCCCCCCTAAAATACATTGTAGGGAGTCAGTGGTTGCAAGTGGCTCAGGACCGTTCTTTATGGCTGAAATGATGATAGTATAATCTACCGGCATAGAAGGAGCCTCTCCTTCCTTTCTCGTGGGTGACGTTAAGAGACTACTAATAGAGCTTAAGGGTCGAGGGATGGGCAGCAGCGGTCCTTTTAAAACACCACCGAAGTCTAATTGCGGTTGCCAACCCACCTGCCAAGCGTGGCAACTACTGGCAAAACTCCCCTTATGAGGAAGACTTATGTTCAACATTAGACAGTTAACGGGTGAATAAAAAAACCAGAGATTAGCGCGTACGAACATTGGAACATGTAATGGTTACATCGTCATAGTCGTAGCATACTGACGGATCTGACGAATATTACATATAAAGATCCGTCAGTATTCTACCACTATGACGATATAAGAAGACATTGAATAAATAAAAGCAAATAAAATTCTCATTATACATTTTATTTACAATTAAATTACAAACAATCATATCGATTTGGGGCCAAATTTCACTTATAACAAATTTCTTTACAATACCTAATAAGAATATCGATTACGCTAATTAAATCTAAAATTAAATGAGATGGCATTCTTGTTTACAATTAATATCAGTCCACATCACAACTGTTATGATTTTTACTAATATTATTCGGTGTACACACTATTTATTTATTTATTTAAACTTTTTTTTTAATGTTTTTTTTATACAACTTAGAATGGCAAACAAGCTGACGGCCCACCTGAGTGAAAGTGGTAACCGTCGCCTATACACATGAGCAGTACCATGGACATAACAGAGTACACTGTTTCGCCCATGATACCCCCCATGCGTTGCCGTTCCTGAGGACTCAGGTGTTATTTCTCCGTACCCAGTAAATTCACGCCATATCCCACCCCTCAAACCGAAACACAGCTATGCAAACACAACTACTTTACGGTTGAAACACGAATGGGACAGAGGTACCCAAGCAATCGACTTTTGTACAAAGTCTCCCTCTGGTAAATGGTACTTTAATGCACAGTAAAATTCTATGTACATTTGGCGAACTTAACACCGGACAGTGTTCTCTACCAGTCAACCATTGGGCAAACCGAGAAATAAATAGGCGGTACATTATTGAATAGAGGAAAAATAAAGCAATAATATCTTTATTATACATTAAAGGCGTATCCACAACGATAAAATATAACAAAACAAGTAAATATTATAAATAATTAATTACGAATGTTTCAATGAACGACAAAGCTATATGAATGAATGAATGAATGAAAACTATTGTTCCCTTCAAAGAATGATGCAGATTGCAAAGGATAACAATATATATATATATATATATATATATATATATATATATATATATATATATATATATATATATATATATATATATATATATATATATATATATATATATATATATATATATATATATAATTACAAGAAACAAGATAAACAGGCAACGATGGGCGGCCTTATCGCTAAACAGCGATCTCGTCTAAATGATCTTAGGATATTTTTCATTGTTTTGCTAGATTTGTTGTGGACGTCAAATTTGACATTGATTGCATCGTCTCGTGTATTACTCTTGTAATACTTCCGAACCAAAAAACAATTTGGGAATATATACGTGAATTACATATTTTATAATATTAGACACCTATAAATACACTTTAGCCAATAATATTTAACATATATATATATATATATATATATATATATATATATATATATATATATATATATATATATATATATATATATATATATATATAGGATAGTCATTTATCAATCTCTTTATTCAATTAATCATTCGTTTATAAACAAAATAATAACTTTTGAACTGTTCTTCTATATAATTTTTGGGCATTCAATGTTACGATGGAAATTTCCACCATTATGCAAAGAAGCGTTAAAAACGTTACACAATCAATACATAGAGTACATCTATGCATCACAATAAAAAAAAAAAGTAAAGAAAAAAAGTGTTAAATTAATAAGTGCAAATTCGTATATAAAGTTATAACAGAAAAAAAAAAATATTATAAAAATCATAATTGTTCAACAATATCCAACGCGTGGCAAGGGTTTCGTTAAAGCCGTCAATTAGTTACAAGAACTAAGTATATATTTCTATAACAATGTACACTTTGAATGTTTATCTACAACGAATCGTAGCAAATATGCTATTTATTTCTATATAATACAAAAAGCACTTTTGTCTGTCTGTACGAACGCATCAATCTCAACAACCAATAATATAAACTTGATGAATTTTACACTGCCATTAGACAAGTATGAGAAAATTACTTTATAATTTTCATTTAACGTCGATTAGTTGATATATTAGATATAGAGATAGATTGTGTGTAGAACACATGAACCTGCATCATTGCATCAAATAAGAAAAAAAAAAGTCAATTTGAAATCATTTTTTTTTTTATCTACTATCAATTAAAATCCTAACCCAATGGATTTATTTGTAATTTAGTATACTCGTATACACTTCATAACCCGTGGTTTTCTCGCAATAATTAGGAGACTTATGAAAACACGAGCAAAACCGCGGGTTATAGTTAGTTAGACAACCCCTACAGTTTCATGATAAAGTCATATTTATCAATCATATTGTAATTGTTTATATTTATAATAAGTTTACTACTGTAACCTTTTGGAGGAAACAATAAAGAGAGAAAGTATATGCACTCTATTATATATATTACTATCTCATTCGTTTATTTCAGTGATGAGCAAGATAAAAAATGTTGACTTGAAGATAAATCGATATTTATAGTGTCGATACACTGTATATAAGATTAAATTAATTATTATTTATATATATATATAAATATAGCTTATTCTGACGACCTAAATATAATAATAATATAATAATTACTCACATATTAATTTTACACATAATAAATTATATACACACTTATAAGTCCAAACTTTGTGTAAATTGAAATTGTTTCAGTTGTGTAAAGTCAAATTAAATATTAAATATAATTCATTAAATTACAAAATAAATTGATACAGTTTATGATAAAGTTTATTTAATATACTAACGTTTCACCAATTTAATAAGAGAAGATTCCCAACTCAATTATACATATTACGCAGATAAACACATAGATATTTTAATTTTATTTAAAAAATATTACTTTCAAAATGGTTTCACACTAATTGGTAAAAATGAAAGGTGATTAATTTGGGATCGCTTATTTGTTAAACTAAAGATGATAATTTAATTGTTACTTTTATTTATTAATTTAAGCATGACAATCCAAAATAGGAACGATGACTGCTACTCGACTAAAAACAAGTAAACATTAATCAAACTTTTACAAGCAAAGAAACAATATCGCGAGAACCTCGTAAACTGTCACTCTCCTTATATCGTGGCATAGATTAAGAAGCATAGACAAAAAAAAAATTTATCATTTAAAAAAAGTTTAAAAAATCCTACATTACTGAATAATTTCAATTCACATATTTGGACCATTATATTCTTATTTATAATTAAAATAGTATCGAAGTCTTCGATCGTTTAACTATTAGGCCGGTTTTACTACTCGTTGTATTAGAGTTACGATAATTTTAAAATATAATTGACGGTTATTAATATTATTTATATACAATATATAAATATTATGTACAATAACTTAAATATACAATACTTTAAGCCCATTATTTAAGAATGTCAACATAATATGTTACCTATTTAAAATATTTCACTCCTTTTGGAGTAAGCATACTCCTAGTTAATTTTAAACTTTCACGTTGTTTACACATATTTTAAATACACAATCGGAACTTGACGCGATGTAAAAGCCATTATAGGTAAATAGTACCTATATATCTGCTTTTCCGCGGTTGAAGGATCAGAGGTTATAGGACGAAGGAAACACGTCACGGGAAAGGCCATTCCATATTGTAAACACACATAATATTTGTAAGATTTCTTTTGTAAGATAGTTGCTTATGGGGAGTCTCGTACCCAGTTATGAATCAATAATAGGCTGTTACGATTAAGCTAAGCTTACCGATACACTCTGTATATACTATATAGACTTTTAATTTAATTTTATAAATAATTTTCACATGAAATATTGCTAGCTCTAATATAATTTTTATAACAGGTACTCAGCATATAAGTATCTAATCTAATATGATATGTTTTAAAGTTAACACACATACAGACAGACATATTTACATGTTTAATTTAAGTTATTATTTATATGTACATTGTAAAACTGTATTCGGATCGTATTAATGAGAAAAACCCTTTTTAAATTATAAAAATAACTTTTTTTTTATTACAAAATAAATAGTTTTCGATTACAAATGTAAAAATTATATACAAAATTAATATTATTATTTTTACGGCCATTGTTTTTATTTATTACCAAAAAATATTTGCAGGCAACACCGGTCGCCTGCAATTCTTTAATAAATATGAATCCAACAATTTGTTAAAGCTTAACAATTTATTAATATTTTTAATATATTCGAAATCAATATAAAACTAAAATATTGCCAAAAATAAAAAAAAATCTTTTAATAATATCATCATAATGAAAAGATTGTATAATTCAATTAATAAAGCATAACAGATCCCGATGTGAACTCTGGCATATTAAAAAAAAAAAATTCGAGTAGATTATTTCAAATGAAGATTAAAAACAGGTCTCATTAAAAAAAAAAAAACTTTAAAAATTAACTCCCGATCGTATTCTGAGATTCCTGTTCCATTTAAACGTTAAAAAACTTTAAAAAATTATGTAATAGTGCAAACTAATTTCAACAAATGTATACGATACCTCGCAAATGTATAACAAACGACTATCAACTTTAAATGTTTTCAGTAAAGTCGAAAATACGTTATAAAAAAAAAAAACTATTTATAAACTTTTTTATAACAATCACATAATTGTATATTTATCTCACAATACAGGATTAATTATAAACAATTACAGATATTTAAAGCTAAAAACTATACCTTTACACCTCATTTTCTTTGGGGTAGACAGAGATTAAGAATATACCCGTTGCTCTGGATACCGGAATTTTGCACATTTAATTAAAAAAATAAACTATTCCTTATAGCTTGTGTATACACAAGTTATTTTTGTAATAATGAGCAGAGATTTGAGCATATAGTAATCATAGGAATCAATTTTCTTGCAACAAAAAATGTATATACAGATGAAGAGCTAAAATATAGGTTGTATAGATAACCCATATACCTCCCCCCCGCCATATACTATATAAAATAGGCAGAAAAGCCACGGGTATATCAACATCTTAAACACAGCTAACTACAATTCCACCCTGAACATATCTATTTACAGTTTTGCCTTACGTCTCGTTTACAACACGTGTACACTCGTACCTGTTTCAAAGTCTCCACTTACGACGTGTCAATCTTCGCAAAGACACCTACTAATTTCTTACGAGACACTATAAGCGTACCCGAAAGGATAGTGCGTCGACCATATCCCAGAAGCCGAAGTCGCTCCACCTCCTCGCCCTGTATCATAACCTGACTGTGACGTCTTCATCCAGGGTGTCGAGTTCGCAGCAGGAGACCAGCTCCTCGAAGGTCATACCGTCCACAGAGAGGGACACCGTCGAGATGCTTCTGAATAACGCCTCGGTGTCTAGATCTTCGGGGAGTTTGGTGAGGAACTGAGCGGCGGTAATGAAGTCCATATCTTTAAGCTCGTCCTGGTACAGGTGGAGGATACCTGAAAGTTTATTTTTTGTATATGAATAACTAGCAGTATGCATCGAACAGTTTTTTAGAAAATAAAATATAGACCATGTTACGCTGATAATGTGGCTTTGTTTTTTTTTTTTGGACTTGGATTTGGATTTGGATTTGGACGACGGTTACCACCTGATGGAAAGTGGTAACCGTCGCCTATAGACATGAGCAATACCATGGACATAACAGAGTATACTGTTTCGCCCATGATACCCCCCATGCGTTGCCATTCCTTAGGATTCAGATGTTATTCCTCCGTACCCAGTAAATTCACGCCATATTCCACCCTTCAAACCGAAACACAGCCATGCAAACACAACTGCTTCACGGTTGAAACACAAATGGGACAGAGGTACCCAAACAATCGACTTTTATACAAAGTCTCCTTCTGGCTTTCAAAAGATGAAAGAAATTTTAAAACCGATTATTTTCGAGTTTACCCATTACAAACAAAAATATTTTCGCTTTACAATATTAATTTAGATGATTATATTTTCTACTGACTTCAAAAAGAAGAAAGTTCTCAATTCGGTTGTATTTTTTGTTTGTTGCGTGTGGTCCCGGCATAGAATAGGCCACCCCTTCCTTTCCCGTGGGTGTCGTAAGAGGCGACTAAGGGAGAGCGAGGGATGGGAAGCAACGTCCCTCTTAAAACATCTCCAAAGCCTAACTGCGATTGTCAATCCGCGTGCCAAGCGTGGCAAAATCTGGCAACTACTGGCAAAATCAAAGGGAACCAAAACCAACAGTTATGTTAGACAGTGAACAGTTAAAGGCTGATATGATGATGATGATGAACAAAATTGTCACTAACCAACAGCGGCGGCGAACAGGAAGGTGCCACCGTCCCTCAGGAACAGGTCCCAGATGCGACAGGCGGCGTCGAGCGGCATTGCCTTTGCGAAGGCGGTGTACAGCCACTCGAGGAGGTACAGCTCGGGCGCCAGGCGGCCCAGCAGCGACTCCAGCGCCGGCACCGACCGCCGCGCCACCAGGCCGTACGCTTGCCACAGCCGCTGTGTGCAAACACAAAAATAAATATAATAGCCAATCGTCTAATCCTCAAACTAGGATACCCTGTGCTATAAGGAACCAAGCCAAAACTTTCATCACATCGCTCGCCATTGGCAAAGGTGTCCAACCTCATACCTCAGAATCAGAATGGTAGCGAACATTGTGGTTTTAAAGGAGCTTCTTCTCGCAAACACTCGGGTTGTGAAATGATCTTCCTGCCGAGGATTTTCCTAGAGACTACAGCATTAGGGCCTGTTAAAGTTTCTTAAGGGACGGTAATACGCGTGAGACATTCCTGGTGTTACGGGCATCCGATTATATTACTGGGCTTGTTTGTCACTACTATCTAGGTAGAAAGCATCTAGGAGCACAACACCACCATCACCAGAGGGAGACTTTGCACAAAAGTAGTTTGCTTGGGTACATCTGTCCTATTCGTGTTTTAACCATAAAGCAGGTGGGATATGGTGTGAATTTACAGGGTACAGAGGAATAATATCTGAATCTTCAGGAATGGCAACTATAGCAACTAATGGCAATTATGTCTATGGTACTGCTCATGTCTAGAGGCGACGGTTACCATTTTCCATCAGGTAGGCCGTCAGCTTGTTTGCCATTCTAAGTTGTATAAAAAAAAACACAACCCAGAAATTCAAACTCGAGCGAATTTAGAAAATTTCGTCTCCTGAATTGGTCTTGGAAATTTTCGTCTCCCGACCAGAAATCGAACCCTCATTACTCAAAACAGTGCTTTAAAAGAAAGTTTATTTAGAGACATTAACTAGTCTCTAAAGAAACATTCTTTTTTACATCAATAATTTGATTTAATGCTGTCTATTTTCAGTACTCTGTTTAGCCTGATTATATTTCTTTTTAATCTATGACAACTAAAAAAAATATGTTACCTGCATAGTGTTCCCGTCGCGTGTGAATGCAGCACGCAGTACAGGACCGTCCAGTAAGTTCGCGAAGCACACGAACGCTTGCGGCGCTTCCATGTTCAGAATAAGCACCGCCGCGATGAACGACATGCCCTGAACGATCACAAATTAATAATTACAATTCTGTTACGATACATCAACATCATTTCAGCCGTTTTTTTTTTTCAGTGAATTAGTTGAATGAAATAGTACCTCCACCTGCGCTAACGGTATAACACTGGCGAGGTCTGTGGTCAGTTAGCCCACCGTGATGAATACACCTGGAATTCAGCACGATGGTTTCCAGGGGAAACTACGTGGAGGTCGACCTGATAGGGTATATTGCTAGTAACGGGACTGATAGTCCGCATTACTAATAATCCCTTCCCCCCTCATTTCAGCCGTTATCTGTCCATTGCTGGACATAGGTCTCTCTCGTAGATTACCATAAGAAATGGGAGCATTCGTTATGGCAGTTTACCAATGAACAGATTTTGCCAGTAATTGCCACGCTTTGGAACCGCAATTAGGTTTTGGTGATGTTTTAAGAAAGACGCCTTTGTCCCCCCCTCGACCGTAATGTTTCTGGAGTAGTCTCTTACAACACCCACGGAAAAGGAAGCGGTGGCCCATTCTATGCCGGGACCATACGGCAATGTTATGTTATAATATGGTACATAATATATTTACACATTGCACTGTTGAATATTTCCTTTCCTACCAACTTTAGGAAAGTTTCAAGCCACCAAGGTTATCCATATGGCATCCTACATTTTAGGTTGTCCATACAGGGTCGCACTGAGGACCTTTTTTCCTCACTATTTTAGCATGAATGAATATAAAAACTCATAAACTGCAGATTGTACCAATAATCCGGACATGCATAATTAAATACAGACATATGTATGTACATCTAAAAAACATTACCCTCCATTCTTTACCAGACAGTTAATAAATATTAAACGAAGCCAAAATTAACTTACCTGTATGTATCCTATATCTGGCCGATAACACACGTACGCTGCTAATAATTCATGTAAAACGTCGAAATAGGGCCCGCCCGGTTGGAAAATACACAGGTGTGGGAACGTTCTAGCAATGTCCAGCTGTATCAGCTCCATTGAACACTCGTCACTATAGTCTAGCAGGTTAGGGTTGGATTTCGAACAACACTTCTTTGGTCCCGAATCAGTACTGTGCGACTTTAGGTTCTGCTCGCTTAAATTCCTCGGTATACTCAGACGAGGTTTTTCATCTGTTCTCTCGTCAGTTTTGGCCTTTTTCTCCTCTTTGGTGACGTCGAACTTCACATTGTCGCTGTCACAGTCGCAGGTCTCTTGGTTGTTGACTTTTAACCTTTTCCTGCGTAACTGCGCTTCGTGCAGTTTCTGCTTCGCTTTCGCGACATACTCCTGGTACATTTGGTGTGTGATTTTCAGTTTATTCTCGATTGCCAATTGCCACACTTTGCCGCGAATCGATGGTGGGAGCCCGCTCCACCACAATTCTAGGGTGCGTTTATTGTTCTTCCTATAATTAAAGCAAAAAAAAACTTTCATTTTCCAGTATAAATGAAAGGTAAGTGTAAATAGATAAACAATACGAAAATGTAAGAATACAAATAACGGAGAATTTTTAATGCTCTGATAGACGTATGTTATCAATTTAATATATATATATATATACAATATATATATATATATATATATATATATATATATATATATATATATATATATATATATATATATCTCTCTTCTCTCTCATAGAGAAAGTCTCTAGTTAAGTCTACGGAACATGCGTGTATGGATGATACGAGTTAGAAAAGTGGATGGAAACAAGAGATTTGCATAAATAATTAGATAAAAATGCTTTTATGTTTTTATCATCATTGTAGACAGCTAAAACTTAATATATAATATTTCACAGTTAACAGAAATGTCAACACACACTATAGTGTTGCAATGAATTTACAGGGTATAGAGGAATAACACCTGAGCCCTCAGGAATGGCAACGCATGGGGGGTATCATGGGCGAAACAGTATACTCTGTTATGTCCATAGTACTGCTCATTTCTATAGGCGACAGTAACCACTTTCCATCAGGTGGTCCGTCAGCTTGTTTGCCATTCTAAATTGTATAAAAACAATACTTGTAATATATTATTATAGTCGATACGAAAGATTAGATAAATCGTAAATCACGATTGCTGAAATTATCACTTTGCTAATATTAAATATGTAAATACAACGTAGTTTGCTTCAACTTAACAAAGAATATCCTTAACAGAACTGAGTATCAAAGACCTCTTAAGCACTCGTCTTAGACTTAGCGTGAATATATATGCATACACAGACGAAATCGAAATCATGAAATAACCTTTTAAAGGAATTATAATGCTATCAATAAAACTCTTTTTTTTTTTCTGATGAAACATATGTCACCGAAATATTTTACGGCCCAAATGAGAGGCTAAGCGCGGAAAACAGAGTCTTTCTCACATTCACACATTCACATTCATGTTACCGAAAAACAAAAGGATTTTGGACATTCTATTTTTGTGCCATATTTCGAATCATATCTTTTGAAAAAAGATACCGTTTTACTGGTTAAAACTTCCTAGAAAGCATGCTACTGATTTAAATTTTTGCCTGTCCTGTAGACATAGTTGCTGTGCCTAAGTCACGTTAAACAAAAGGCAAGAGAATTATAAATGGTCCTGCGATATATTAGAAAATAACAATGGCATTAAGGCCGCTTTAAATAAAGTTTAAATAAATAAAAATTACAAATTCTTACCTACTAGTGAATACATAAATGAAAAAAAAAAATTGAAACTTTATAAAGTATCCATGAAGAACTTTCGAATTAATCTCGTAAATAGACGTAAATAACAGTTGTGTCAAAAACAGATCATAACATTGTCACAATAGTAACAAAAGAAACAATAAATAAAGACAGCTAGAGACATCGGGTCACGTGCATACCATACATTGTTAAAGACAATTACTTTGACCCGTTTCCTTTGCGACAGAAATATGAGTGATTTATGTTTATGACGAGATAACAGGCTACTCCATTATTTACGCTTCCACAAATTATGTGAAATGTTGTAGTTTTCACTACTAAGCAAAACTAAAACCTAACATACAAAAATAGCAGCATAAATAATCGATATAAAGTTTACAGTTTGTTATAGGTAACCTCCGTATATAGTACTAGGATTCTAAAATTAAATAAATTCGTATAAGACTTTTTATTATTTGAATTATCAAAAAACAATTCATGTTTCAAGAATTGAAACATAAAATTCTCTATCTACACGGCGCTAAAAGGCCAGAGGGAGACTTTGTACAAAAGTCGATTGCTTGGGTACCTCTGCCCCTTCGTGTTTCAACCGTGAAGCAGTTGTGTTTGCATGGCTGTGTTTCGGTTTGAAGGGTGGGATATGGCGTGAATTTACTGGGTACAGAGGAATAACACCTGAGTCCTCTGGAATGGCAACGCATGGGGGGTATCATGGGCATAACAGTATACTCTGTTATGTCCATGGTACTGGGGCCGTATTATGAACTCTTATTTCCAGGCAGATTACGGCGTAAATTGAACTGCCTTGCTAATTCATATTATGAACGCTACAAACCAGCCAGTCAGCGGTCACGTGACAGTTGAGCGACATCTGCCCGCTGCTCATGTTTATAGGCGACGGTTATCACTTTCCATCAGGTGGACCGTCAGCTTGTTTGCCATTCTAAGTTGTATAAAAAAAATCTAAAATTAAAAAATCGGTTATAAGTTTTTTTTTTTTTTATAATTCGAATTATCAGAGGACAAATAAAATTTAAAAATTTAGACGAATATAAAACTCTGTCTACACGACGCACAGTAAATTAGTTATTTTTACGTAGAACATTTAACAAAAACGACAAATGAGCCAAAGAATTCTTCCACTGTAATTCGCAACGCGGAAAGCGTTACAAATCGCAAAAATTCTCGGACCAATGTTTTAATTTATTTATAGAGATTACTACGTGATCATCGTCAACCACCGTCCATTAGTGGATACTGGACCCCGTAAGTAGGTACATGACATAAAGCAGGTTTACAAATGATTTTTTTATACAACTTAGAATGGCAAACAAGCTGACGGCCCACCTGATGGTAAGTGGGAACCGCCGCCTATAGACATGAGCAGTACCATAGACATAACAAAGTATACTGTTTCGCCCATGATACCCCCCATGCGTTGCCATTCCTGAGGACTCAGGTGTTATTCCTCTGTACTCAGTAAATTCACGCCATATCCCACCCTTCAAACCGAAACACAGCCATGCAAACGCAACTGCTTCATGGTTGAAACACGAATGGGATAGAGGTACCCAAGTAATCGACTTTTGTACAAAGTCTCCCTCTGTGATCCCTTTAGACCACCACACGTAGAAGAAATCGGCTGATAATATGCAAATAAAAAGAGTAATTGCAGTATATTCCAAACACACACAGTACAAAAAAAAAATGGGTCGAGAATCTATGGAATAGAGTTTATTTTTATTTTATCATATTCTATCCTCTAAATAGGTCTTAGGATAGCTGGAAAATCTACCGTAACAATTTGTCTGCACAGGATCTTTACTTCAAAACCTCTTTTTTTTATACAATTTAGAATAGCAAACAAACTGACGGCTCATCTGATGGAAAGTGATAACCGTCGCCTATAGACATAAGCAGTACCATAGACATAACAGAGTATACTGTGTCGCCCATGATACCCTTCATGCGCTGCCATTTTCAATTCGTAATAAGTTAATGATTTGTTCAGCAAGCCTTGACTACTCTAGTGTACCATTTTTGATAATGTGACACAGCGTCAACATGAATCCAAACTTCAAATTATAGTCATGTGCTTATTATAAATACATAGAGGTAATGACGCGGTATTACGTTTCCGTAAAAAAAAACATAATTTTGCAAATGATCATCGCACTTGTATGTACAAGTAATGACAGAAAATTGGATCTACATAAACAAACAGTTGAATGTATTTGAAAGGCACAAATAGACTAATGACAGACAAAAAGTACTATAAATTTGAATTTATAAGTAGTAGTAGTTAGTTATATGTAAGTAAAGTTTTCGATTGCTTGGGTACCTCTGTCCTATTCGTGTTTCAATCGTGAAGCAGTTGTGTTTGCATGGCTGTGTTTCGGTTTGAAGGGTGGGATATGGCAGTGAATTTACAGGGTACAGAGGAATAATACTTGAGTCCTCAGGAATGGCAACGCATGGGGGGTATCATGGGCAAAACAGTATACTCTGTTATGTTCATGGTACTCATGTTTATAGGCGAAAAAAAATAAATATCAGCGAGACACAAGAAACTATTGTCAAATATCTACACGCAATAATTACTTGCTCAGCATTTCCAACAAAACAATGTCAAACAATTTTGCCGGGTTGATAATTTTCTCTTCCGTTACTGTCGACTGTCACACAATAGAGGTAATTTTCATACCGTCTCTGTTATTTACTTGAAACTAATTAATTTATAATATTACGCTTGCAATTAATATAAGACGTTAGACATACTGAATTCAGCTTTGAAATTTAAATTACCACATATACAATAGTCACACGCGACGTTGAAATAGGTCGGTGCACTCTGCGGGAGACTTATTACAAAATATATATATATATATATATATATATATATATATATATATATATATATATATATATATATATATATATATATATATATATATATTTTTTTTTTTTTATCGTTGGATTCTGGAGTAACCACGCCTGCGCTAATGGGACACGCTGGCGGGGCACCAGTGAAGGGTGATTGATGAGGATGAAAACAGGCCAGTTAGCCCATCATGATGAATTCATCAGGAATTAACCATGATAATTTCTAGGGGGAACCGCGAGGAGGTCGACCTGGTTGGATATATTGCTAGCAATGGGATTCTTAGTCTCCATTACTAACAATCCCTTTTCCCCCAAAAATATATATTTATAGTAGCACATATGATCACAGTATACTAAGCAAATGTAGGGACATTATAGTCCATGAATGTCCCTACTCTACTCTAAAAGGTTAGTCGCAATATGCCACATCACTAATCCCTTTTTCGCAGTACGTTTGAAGGATCTGAGAATGTAGAATGAAAAGAACAACGCCACGGATTAGTTACCAGAGGAAGATTTTGTACAAAAGTCATTTGCTTTGGCTGTGTTTCGGTTTAAAGGGTGGGATATGGCAGTGAGTGGGTATAGAAGAATAACACCCGAGTCCTAAATGGCAACGCATGGGGGTATCATGGGCGAAACAGTATACTCTGTTATAACTCATGTCTATAGGCGACGGTTACTACTTTCCATCAGGTGGGCCGTCAGCTTGTTTGTCATTGTAAGTTGCATAAATAAAAAACGGGAAAGATCATTCCATATTGAAACAGGAACTTACATATTCTGCCAATCCGGGAGTATATTCTGCGTCCACTCCTTGGCGTGCCTTGCGAGCCTCTCCTCGACCCTCAGCGACTCTTGGAGGCGGGCATGCCTCGCCGCCGCCTCACGTTCCACTCGACGCCTCGCCGCCTCCACCATTCGTGCGTGCTCCGCCTTATGCCGAAGAGCCTCTTCCGTACATTTAGCTGGGAGATTTGATGGTCTGAAATAGAATAGCGTTTGCTTATAATTTTCTACAAGCCTGATCAATTGTGACATTGTTTTAGAGCGTTCAATGAAAAAAAATATATAATATGTAATCAAAGGAAACTATGTAAAAACCAATCTAAAAACGAATCGACCAATACACATAGTATGAAACATTGATTACTATCATTTCTAAGTTCACCCCCCCTTTCTTATCTTTACCCCCCTTTTGAAGAACCCCATGCTGTAGTCTCTCGGGAAAACCTCGGCAGGGAGCTCATGTATGTACCATCATTTCTTATACAAACAGCTAAGGAGCAGAAATCTCTTCCAAGGTCTATTTCTTGATTTGTTTAAGATGGGGTCTTTGATTGGATTTGACCTTTATTTAGATTTTCACATTAGATAATTGTTTCTTAAAATCAAGTGATTGGAGAGAAAGGATCTTTAGTTATGGTCATCCTGCTCTCGGTTCCTCCTAGAAACCATCGTGTCTAGTTCTAAGTGAATTCATCATGATGGGCTACCTGATCTGCCTTTGCATCCTCTCCTATCACTCTTCACTGGTGCTTCGCCAGTTACACAGGCGGAGTTACTATTTCATTATCGTCCATTTAAAACCTCAGGCGAGATTACAGTCAAACGCACTCAAATTTTATATGCATCCCACTGACCCTTGTCGAACACACAATCAATGTCTTTGTAAATCAACAATTAAAAACGAAATCGATAACTCAACCGAAACCTTAGCCGATTTACGATCGCATGTTGGCCAACATACACACGAATTGGCAAATCAATATTCCAATATGGCGTGCGATTTAACGATTGTTTTGGAACTATATCGATTAAGTACATTAATAAGAATGGCGTGCGGGATGCACTTTGCAAACATTGTACATCTGCATAACGAGATCTGTATGTTTATTCATAGAAAAGTACGTGTAATAAATCTTAAAAGAATAATTAATCTTGGACATAAAACGCAAGTCTTTTGCAGTTACTGAGTATATAAAAAAAAAACTACAGTTGACGTGTTAATTACATGTGATAACAAATCGCTTTATGGAATACTTTCACCAGTTTAACAAATAACTTTAACAGCATGTATAATTAGTAATAGTTTTATAATAATAAAAGAAATTTAATTTACTGTTATATGCATACTATTTTTTAACGACTCAACAAAAGTAGGTTACGACAATCATATCAATTTGTCTGTATTTGGGTATTTTAAAAAGTTAAGTAATCCTAAAAAAATACCACATTGTTTGTATGTATATTACAAGTTATTTTCACCTTGTGATGTTTAACCAAACGTGTTTACTCCAGTTTTTTTTTATACAACTTAGAATGGCCAACAAGCTGACGGTCCACCTGATGGAAAGTGATAACCGTCGCCTATAGACATGAGCAGTACCATGGACATAATAGAGTATACTGTTTCGCCCATCATACCCCCCATGCATTGCCATTCCTGAGGACTTGGGTGTTATTCCTCTGTACCCTGTAAATTCACGCCATATCCCACCCTTCAAACCGAAACAGCCATGCAAACACAACTGCTTCACGGTTGAAACACGAATGGGACAGAGGTACCCAAGCAATCGACTTTTGTACAAAGTCTCCCTCTGGTAAAGTTTGGTTAGAAGTTTTTGGAAAACAGATTACAATTATGCAATCTAAAATATCGAAAACATAAAATGGATACATAAATATACCTCATTGTACTAGGTACCATATAAATTACATATACATACAATGGAGAAGTCTTATATGTGATCAAACAACTAAATATAGATATAAATACATACATAAAAGTAAATTTACTATAATTTAATTTAATATGGAGCAACTAAATATAGATATAAATACATACATAAAAGTAAATTTACTATAATTTAATTTAATATGGAGCACAGATGGACGTCTCTAAATAGTGTACTGTACTCATTAATCTTCGGCATCGTTACAATTAATTAGATCAACACGAGTCTAGTAATAAACTAAAGTGTTCACCATTAATACCTATTTATAGCGATGTAGTAGTAATTCCACTGCCCCAACTCGAATGTACCAACATTTGGTGGATACTATTAACAAATGGCTGCTATTTCGGTAAGAATTCACTGTCCGTGAATAGCTTGCCTCCTTCTATTGTTTTATGGTTTTGGCTCACGGTATTCTTCAAATTATCATGGCGCCATGAAGGCTGACCATTAAAATTAAGAGGCCCTCCTAAGGAAGATTCGCAACGCGATCTCCTATCACATATCGTAGTTTCTAATCGACTATATAACGAAGGTTCTTAACTGTAATTTTTGTAGCGATCTCTTCACAAATTCTGAACCGACTTTGATTCTTTTTTTTATATTAATAAGGTCTATTCACAAATAGCGTAATAATGTAACAGTTGAAGTCACTGTATTTTTACGATACAAAATCTTAAAATCTTGTTAACATTAAAAACATAAAAAAGGGGTTAAGCTCTTCTCTTTTTTATATATAAAAGCTTTTGATATATAGAGAGAGAGATTTAAACACTGGTCTCTTTGTGACTTCTAGGAATTTAGCATTTTTTTTAAATATATATTGCGTTTATTTGTAATCTGATTCCAATGCTAATTTTGTTAAAGTTGAACTTAATTCATCGGTTGTTCAGTATAAAAAAAATATATATATACAATTTCCAAACAGAAAAAAGGAAAATCAAATTTTAAAATCAAAATAAAGAACAATTTTGTTATAACCTTCAGACTCCGATCCATTTTTCAAATCATGTCTCTTTGAGAAAAGCAAAATAAGATAGGTAACAATTTGGTTTTCATCTTGCGTACGAGAATTTGAGTTCGACCCCAGGCGACTCTAGAAATTTCCAATGTTAACAACCTAATATACATATCTATATGCTATACGCTTCTATCTACATCCGTTTGTTTGTGTATCACGTCAGGTAGATAAAAATCAAATATGCTAATATAAACATCACGCAATCACAATGATAACTGTTACTATGATAAGAATATTATTGTATGTATGGTATGTATGTATGGTAGCCATTACTACTTTTTAAGCATTTATAATATCAGAAAGATCGCTACTATACATCATGTGCGTCACAGTATAATTTATTATGTTAAAAAGAAAGACATAAATACATTTATCTCAAAATAACTTTTTTTATACAACTTAAAATGGCAAACAAGATGACGACCCATCTATTGGAATGTGGACCTATAAACCTACAGACATGAACAGTATCATGGACATAACATGACTATACTATGTCGCCTATGATATCCTTCATGAGTTGCCGTTCCTGTGAACTAAGATGTCATTGTACCCTGTAATTTCATTGCCGTATCCCAATTTTTAAACCTAACCACAGTTATGCAAACACAACTGATTCACGGCAGAAACACGAATGGAACAGAGGTAGCCAAGCAGACGTTTTTTGTACAAAGTATTCACGGCAAAAACACGAATGGGATAGACATAACCAAATAGACTACTTTTGTACAAAGTCTTTACGGCAGAAACACGAATGGAATAGAAGTAGCCAAGCCGACGACTTTTGAACAGTCTTCACGGCAGAAACACGAATGGGATAGAGGTAGCCAAGCAGACAACTTTTATACAAAGTCTCTCTCTAGTAAATATTTTTTTAACGATTTACATTTAATAATTTAATTCTTTTTTTTTTTACATAATTCCTTAAATACTAATAACAATTAAAAGTAATCTCCCAACGCACCACACCGAGGCAGCGTACCCAAGATACTGGCAGCATTACCTCTTTGGATTGCCAAACTTATCTTTTGGGCAAAGTAGCTACCAGCTCTTGGGTCACCAGTAACCTCGATAAGGCGCGCTGCGATCGTCCGATAAAAATTCTTTGCATCTGGGCTCCACGGGCCCATCGTCTCTACAGCAAATGGCAGAAAACAATAAGACCCCTCCAGATGTGAGTATTTACGCCTCTTTATTGCTTCCGCTGTCACCGCCGCAGCACCCGAACAAGAGGACGATTTAGATAAATGGCTTGGAGCTAACGTGTTTACACACGTCGCATCCCACACCAAGCATTTTCCCATTTTCCAAGGAACCAAAGTTACGCCATCAGGTCGTTTCCCATCCTCACGGAAAATGCCATTTGGTTCCAAAATCGCTGGTATTTGTGTCATCGCAAGTGCCCTATGAATAATGTTATTGATCATGGCATGGCGAGGTATTCGACCTGCACTTCTCACACAGGACAGACCATGGTATCCCAGCTCTTCAACTGAGGCTCCACAGCTACAACGATGGGGCTGAACTATTTTTACACCCAACCGCAAACCTATTAATAATGTAAAGGAGCAATCGTCGAGAAGCGTTCCAGTATTAGTTGACGGGAATGCCTGCAACCAATATCCCGATTCCCTTTCAGCTACTGCTTGAAGACGAGCACGAGTAAATTAACTACAATCAAATTGATAAGTACCTATGAAGTAGCAATAATTAAAGATTGTGACGCAAAAAATAAAAATGACTTCAATTGTGATCAAATACGAGTATTTTGATCTAAAATCTAAACTACCGAACAGATTTTGATAAAATTTCTATTGTGCCAATCCATAAGTGTACCCTTGCAGCCAAAAAGAAGAATTTTGCAAATCAGTTTGGAACTGACGAAATTACGAAGTAACAAACACAACAGAAAATTGGGGGGAAAGGGATTGTTAGTAACGGAGATTGATAATCTTATTGCTAGCAATATACCCAAACCAGGTCGACTTCCTCGCGGTTCCCCCTGGAAACTATCATGGTTAATTCCTGATGAATTCATCATGATGGGCTAACTGGCCTGTTTTCATTCTCATCGATCACCCTTCACTGGTGCTCCGCCAGCGTATCCCGTTAGCGCAGGCGGGAGGTTACCATTCCATTTTCACCCATCAAAAAAAACACAACAACAAAAAAATACAACCGAATTGAGTACCACCTTTTTGAAGTCGATTGAAAAGGTCATAGACC